GTCACTCAAAATTACAAGACTAAGGAGTTGAACAGTGGTAGTCACTCAAAATTTCAAGACTAAGGAGTTGAACATTGGTAGTCACTCAAAATTGCAAGACTAAGGAGTTGAACATTGGTAGTCACTCAAAATTACAAGACTAAGGAGTTGAAAATTGGTAGTCACTCAAAATTACAATATTAAGGAGTTGAACATTGGTAGTCACTCAAAATTACAAGACTAAGGAGTTGAACATTGGTAGTCACTCAAAATTAGGTAAGCTCTTCAACGATGGTTACTATAAAATAGTTTTGTCTTAAACAGCTGTGGCTCAAGGTATAGATCATTCGCCTCTCATCGAGATGACAACAGGCTCAAATCCCAGCGGTGGATGGTTGGCATGAGTTTTGCTCTCGACTCTCACCGACCACAATGTCGAAATAAAATATCCTCAGTGATAGACGGATCACGGGTTAGAATCCCCTTGCTTTCAAACTAATCGCTGGAGGTTTTCGTTGTTTTCCTCTCCACGTACCGTAAATGCGATTTAGTTCCAACAAAAATATACCCCTTGTCCCAATGCTTGATCCATGAGTTCCCTGGTCTTCTCGGTTGGATTCAAAACTACAAGGCTATGGAGTTGCCACATTAATAGTCGTAAATTCAGAATTGGGTCTGTTCAACATCGGTTACAAAAAATGAAAATAAATAGTTTTGTTGGTACTAACTATTAAAACTAATAAAAGGGAATAAACTCATCTTGGTTTTAACATTAATTGATCTATATTTGGGCGATGCCATGAGCGACCTTGGTCTGCAGGAAAGCATTCACTCAAACCATTACTTAACGTTAATCGACAGAAATAGTTTATTTGAATCATGAATTGAAATAGTAGAACTTAATTAACCAATTAATGTCATTACATAGTTAAAACGTTCTTTATTACGAAGTTATGACGGACGCGGCAGATTTGTAGCAATGAAAAAACACTGCCTTAACGCAGGTAAGGGTGTCATTTTTTGCAAATTATGGAAGGAGCACAATCTCAAATTAATTTAGAATTGAATTGAATTGAATTGAATGTATGGTTTAGTGGCACAAAGTTCAAAAGAGGACATACGGTAAAACAGTTCAATAGACAAAGTACAGGCACCACTTTATTTGTCATACCATTATAACTGATAAAATCATATAAGTTTGTAAATGGAATAAGTTTGTACATAGAATCAGATAAAAGGTAGGAATAAAATCAGATAAAAGTTATGAATACGATATAAAACACACGAAACAAATTAATTTAGAAGACATACAATATGTTTCCTTCAGTCAGCAAGTATTTTCGAGCAGTTTTATTTCAAAATACTTATTGTTATGCATTTTTCTTTAGGTTATGAAATTTCGTTAAACGCTTCAGGCATTCTTATATTTTATTTAACACTGTCGTAAACACTTAGCTATAAAATATAAAAAACACCTATCTTTCACATTTTCAGATATTTTCATTAAAAAGATAGTAAAAAATCGGAACTTGGTTTTTCTTCTAAAAAGGAATCTAATGCCGGTAAAGGTCATCGTAATTCCGGTAAGGGTCTAATCCCGGTCATCGCACGCCTCAAGAGTTGCTTCCTCATTACGAACTGGCTGTTCATGCGCATTTGAACCAGGACTTTTATTTATCAAAATTATATTTTGTGTTTTTTTCAGTAATTATTGTTAAACATTACATTTAAATAGGGTCAAAAATAGCTGTTTTATCCTGATTTAATATGAAATTTAGATAATTTGGATTAATAAAAGTGCTGGTTCAAATGAGCACGAACAGCCAGTCCTTAATGAGGAGACGCCCCTTGAGGAATAGTCTGTCGTTTTACGCAATCCTTATTCCTCCAAGTTTGTGCGTGGACGTTTGAATACATTGTAGAAAAACGTTTCAAAAAATTTATTAATCATTATTTTGCTGAGTTCTCGTATTTTAGAAATAATTTTAAAGCGTAAAAAATCATTTCAAAAGAATTTTTTTTTTGTCCGGAAAAAAGATTTTCTGGATTCTCAGATTTATTTTTTTTTAAATTTCAAATCAAGATGCATGAAGTGTAATTGACCAATAAACTTTAAAAAAAAAATTTTCTTCATATATTTCATTTGATTGGAGAAAAGCTCTCTATTAAAAGCATTTCTTAAACTGATAGCAATTTTTTCATCCTAATTATTTTAGCCTTTTTAATTCAGTATAAATGTTTGTATTTGCTTGATATTTCATAATTACATTACTTCTGTTCAAATATTCCATCGATATACATCGATAAACAATATATTTACTTGAAAAAAAAACAAAAAAAAATTATTTACTTTAAATTTACTTTCATTAATACTTCAAATAATTTCACTTTCATTTGATCAAGAATTCATTAAAAAAAAGACTTAAAGATGATTCTTTTGAACAATCTATTTTTTTTTGGGGGGGGGGATTCTTTTTTAAAGGAAAATAATTAAAATGTGGAATTAATTATAGTTTAGATATAATTAAATTATATTTATGAACTGAGAGGCTCTGCCCCCTGCACATTTCGCCCACCAACATCCGGGATTGCCATAAATATGTTTTATTTGTAATAATGGTGGAAAGATATTTTTTAGAGTAATTTTAAAGTAAATTTTATTTGGCAATCGTTATACGGTTGCCAAAAAAATGTGTTTAACAAATGTCTAAATGAATATCTTTCTTACTTTTTTATGTTTTTTTTAATTATAGAATCTATAAAAGGAAACATTTAAAAATTGTCTTTAAATCATATAAAGCAATGAAAATAAATACCATAGTTTTTAACGCGGGAAATATTTAAATTTTCTTTGCAAGAAAATGTTACATTTTCCTAAAAGAAAATTATAAAATATATATTTCGTTAAATAACTTTCATTCATTGATTTCAATTAATTAAATAGTTTTTATTTTGTAAGATTTTCAATTATTTGGAGTAGAAAATTTCACTAACTTCGACTGATAGCAGTATGAATGCTTAAAATTCAAACTTCTCAACTCAACCTTGAATAATACTAGTTTATGAAAAGAGTAGGTTAAGGCGAAAACTGTTATTATAAACACTAGTAAAATAGCTATAAACTAAAAAATGTCACGTTATGAATAGATAGTTGGAATTATTACAGCATTAAGCTGATTTTCAAATAATCTAGATTGCACGGTTACAATAAAACATATGTTGTTGAATCAAACATATGTTATGTCAAACATTGTATCAAACATATACGATTGTTCGCTCAAAACAATAATAAAGATCGATATTTAAATAATATTTCTCTTTCCTAATTCAGATAGAATACCTTTGGATTTGGTAAAAAATTGCGCTTTAAAAATAGCGTGAAAAACTAAATTAGAATTATTTCCTATGAGTTTTTAATTTTTGCTTTTTTACAAATTAATCGCTACATATTCTGAAAATGAGTTAGGTCTTAATAATGAATCAAATTATTTATCAATACGTTTAAATGTTTTAAACATAGAAATTGTGTGTAAATTAGCTATCAATCTATATTTAGACTTCGAATTTGCCTTGAATTTTTAAAAGAAAGTTTACGTTTTTACAGGAATTTATTCTTATATTATTCAGTATCTTATTTTTTTTCGATCATTAATTAAAATTGACAAGCACTTTATTTAATTGAAGGTATAAACCCCATTTTTTCAAAAATAGCATTTAAAATCAAACTGTTCCTTAATGTTGTTTTAAGATAGATACGTAATAAGTTTGTAGAATTGCTATTGGATAACAACACAATAAACAGAAGCACATTATATGTTTACATGGAAATCGTGGTGTTTTTCACCAAATACCTTTTCGAGAACCTTTCGAAAATGTGGCTTATTATATTGTCCCAAGCCCAACCATTCATAAAATGTACTGACAATTCTTTTAAAACATTTTAATTTGCACTAAGCAAAAAATATTTATATTTTAATAGATGTTCAATAATAATTATATAAAAAATTTTTTCATTATATTATATGTTTAGTATTGATTTATGGATATTGGACATTGAATGTCCAATTTTGTCCCGGAATCAAAAACTGGAAATTTCGAATCTTCATTTAGTTAGTTACTAAATTATTGGTATACATTAACACGTCGATCATATTCTTTTAAAACATACAATTCTTTTAAAACATTTTAATTTGCACTAAGCAAAAAATATTTATATTTTAATAGATGTTCAATAATAATTATGTAAAAAATTTTTTCATTATATGTTTAGTATTGATTTATCGATATTGGACATTGAATGTCCAATTTTGTCCTGGAATCAAAAACTGGAAATTTCGAAACTTCATTTAGTTAGTTACTAAATTATTGGTATACATTAACACGTCGATCATATTCGGTCTGCAAAATTTATTGAAACTTATTAACAGAACAACTTTTTTCGTGAAAAAATACCCGCCTTTTTTAAATAATTTGGTGAAATAATTTAACATTTATGCTGATAGTCTACCAAAGAGTGTAATTAAAACTAGGAAATAAGAGTACTTTTAAAACTCTTAACTTCAACATGTTTTTTCTTTCATTACATTCTTCAAATTGTAACAAGTAATTATAATAATAATAATTTTGTAAATTTGAAATAATTTCTTCAAATGACACGAAATGCAAATTTATTTTACTTAGAACACTAAACAAGTTAAAATTCAATAAAAGGTTAATCTCTTATAATTCAGCTTCTTAATTTCTTATTTTAACTTATTTTCATCTTGTTTTCTTATGAATAACGAAAATAAATATTAATTTCCACATTTCGATTAAATAGCAATTCAATCATTTATGCTTAAGGATATGCATATTTTTTTTTTAAATCAATTAAAAACAGAATTTAAGAAAAAATTAGGAAACATTTTAATAGTTTAAATCATCACTTTAATTAAAACAAATTAACAAGACTTCTAAAAATTATATGATTATAAACATGTTGGAAAATATTGTATAAAACTTTAAATAAATAAAATTCTTACCTTCGTATTGAAAACAAGAGGTAAAGGTAATAAAATTAAAGGAACTAAAACACCGAACAAATATTTCCAAAATCTAATTCGACTAGATATGGGTCTTTTTTGCTGAGATTGAACCATGATTGGAAGCTCCCGCTTTGACGGAACGTCTGTTATTAAATCGCTCTTAATTCGCTGACTGAGTTTAAGACCACCTGTTAGATGGCGCTGCGATAGCTATTTGTGAGAAACGAAACCTATGAAAATTCTCATTCCACCGGATATCTATCAAATTGAATGTCACGTGAGTTAGGAAGGTTTTTTTTTTTTTCAATTATCTGTCCTTAAGTTTTGAAGACAGTAGTTAAATTAAGAGAAATAATAGTTTATCATAGGTCAGATGAAGTAATAATTTTGTTAAAAAAAATATTTTCCTTTTTATCGATGACTGACTACAACGGGCGAAATAGTGAAGCAAATTGAACTATAACCTTAATATAGAGCAAAGTTGAAGTATATGGTATTTCTTAAATTTGATTACTCAATACTATGGTTCAAATTTAAAGAAAATGTTGGAAAAAATTGTACCCATGCCATTTTTTTCTCTCGTAGGTAAAAAAAAGTTTAATTAACTGCAAACCTATTAATTTGCCAATTCAACTACCAAAACGTTCTAAAAATCTACGGTAGAAAAAAAAATTATTAATAACTTTGTAATAATTAATTTCTAGCATTAGATAGCAATCTTGATGGTTTAAGGAACAGCTTATAAATTAGTGTTAACGATTAAGCTACCAAATCAGACGCAAATACTTCTCAGAATCAGAATTAACAAATGTGACTTATTGATGGATTCAAGATGCAATTCCAATCGTGAAAAGTGTTTTTAGAGAAATTAAGTTTAGAAATTTAATTACAGAAGACTGTATTTTTTATTTTTTATTGTTTCCCAGAAATAATTATAAAAAATTAAGGAAACAAATTATTTAATAAATTTTTTTATTGCATTTTAACCAATGAAACTTTTTTTGAGGAGAAATAATACTAAAGAAAATTTTAAAAATGAATTAAGTTTTGAGAAACAATGCAAAAAATTGTTATAGAAGTTATTTATAATTTTTTTATATAAAAATTAGAAATGTTTTTATTATTATTATTTGTGAAAAGAATCTGTGACTTAACCAATGCGATTGACCGCAATTAGATTGGACGTAAAATAGTTAAAAAGTAAAATATCCAAAAACAAATTGTGCTTATATTATTTTTAGTTATATTATGAAGGAGAGAATTTTTATTTCCGCAGATTGAAATTATTCTAAGAGAAGTGAACTCTAACAGGTAATTTACATTGAACTATAAAAATCTAATTCCATCTTAAAGTGCAAATAATTTTCAAATTGATGACTCTTAAGTACTTTATATTTAAAATACGAGATAGCTGTGCAATCAAAATAAATTTCATAATTTTAACAAACTTAACTCCGGTAAAATTATACCAATCAAATTCTGCAATCATCATTTTCAGTAAGGAAGTTTTTTGAGTTATTTGTTTGACTTTTTATTTTTAAACAATAGATATTTATTTTTTTCTCCTGCAAATTTCGCTTAAAAAAATTTCGAGTACCAAGCAAATTGATTTTTGTCAGTTAAAACAAAAATTAAAGTAACTTTTAAAAAATTATTTACAATATTATTCAGATCTATGTAATAATTCGTAAAAAATTATTTAAAAAAATTGCCTGCCTATTATTACAATACTATTTTGTTGTAAAACGAAATTCTGTCATCAAAAATTTATTCGGAAAAGAAGACATCACGAAATAATAATTTGAGATGTTTGTTATTTGAAAATCATAATTTTATACATATTTTCAACAAAATTTACGCACTTTTATTAACTCTCGATGTCTATGTTTGTAACGATGGAAATTTGAAATCGAAATTTATACCATTTTTTCGGACTAGCTAGAGCACTAGACTCTATAGGAAACTGATGACTTGGAGATTAATTTTTTCCCACGGGCATAAATCAAACAAGCAGTTCTACGAAATGAAATCGTGATGATATCGCAAATGGGAGACAATCGTCCAAAGAACTATAATCACTTTCCGACTAGCTAGAGAGCTGAAACTTCAATTGGAACAATACTGGTTATAATTATTACTCGAATGTTGCAAGCACAATTTCTATCACGAATCGAGGTTTCTACTACTGTCCAGCATAAACAAAACTAAATAGGAAAGAAGTGATGAAATAAAAATTATAAGAACTACACTCGTAATACAGAACATTTTCCGATTTGTGTGACAATTAAATTGCCCTTTATTACCTTCAAGGGTTCCACTTGCTTTTTTTTTCATTTCGAAATATAATTTGTATGGCTAACTTCGATTTCAAACATTACATAATTAAATTTGCTGTTCAAAAAGAAATCGAAAAAACATTATTTTAAAAATATTTATGTTTAGTTATTAAGCTGAGGTTAAATTTACTAAAGTAGGCATCCTTTGTGGCAACGATAAAATAAAACTGAAATGATTAATATTAAATTATTTTAATTTTGACAGTTTAAAAAATAAAAATTAAGTGTATTAATACAATTCAAAATATATTTATTGCCTTTATTTTTTTGGTTTAAAAATGATATCCTCTTTAGACACTACACTAAATAAGACTTTTACTTTCTTAAAATGCTTTCATTTAATATTGTAAATACAATATACTTCAATATTAAGTTCAAAAACTTGATACATTTGATATCATTTAGTGCGGCACCTGTTATTCAACCTTGTCATTTATATTTGGGTCACAACTTGTTGTCTTTAATAACACATTAACACATAAGATAAATTTAGATCAGACATTTTATGAAGTCAAACTCATCATACCACTTGAGAAATTTTCTACAAATTGGAAAAAATGATGTAAATGAAAGCTATTTCAGTTTTTTTTCCTAAAGAGAAATGATTAAGTTATATGTTCAATTTATGGTTTGAAGATGACTTTATTAGATTATCTCATAAGTTGGTTATCTCATAAGTATTGTTTGAAACAAATATTTTTTATTAAATTTTAAACCCATGAAATTTCATTCTCACACACGCAACTCTCACCACCTAAAAATGCAAAAATAAAAACGTTGTTACTCACTGAAATACCTATACTTTTCTTGATCAATTTTAAAATTAGCCATTGTAGTGTTTTTTCTACGTTTTAAGTCAGTTTTTTAGCATTAAAACTTTTTTTTATTTTTATTTAGTATTAAAGTTTCAAATTCATAATTCTTAACTCATAGCGTTCCCTTACTCCAGCGTTTCCCCAAAGTTTGGTACGCGTACCCCCAGGGGTACGGGAGTAGTTTAGCGGGTGTAAGCGTTCTTATACGAAATATCTTGCAACAAACGAAAATTTCAAAAAATTTAATTTAAAAACAATGCTAGCCATAAAAATTTACGATTACATATTTTTCTATTGGCTATTTTTTGCAGAGTTTACAGTTAATAATTAGCGGTGTCAACAGCCAGTTGTGATTTTTAACGTTTGTGCAATTTTTTTATAGTAAACAATACATTCATTTTTTTATTAGTGGTACTCAGCGTTACGAAAAATTTAGAAAGGGAACACAAAAGTCATAAGTTTGGGAAACACTGCCTTACTCATACGACAATTTAGAATGTTTCATGTCGATGGCATTATTATTATGATAAAAATGGCGCACATGTTTTAAGAACATATTTTGGCATCCTGCAGAACTAATTTTCATTAAATTGAGAAAAATTCTTCAGTGTGGGAAAAAAAAGAAGTAAATTATATAAGCAGTAAGGTGCACTCTCATTTCATAATTTAAATTTACGAAGTAAATTTATACTCTAAAATTCTTTATTAACTGTTTTGATTTCCTCTAATAGGATAGTTAAAGAATGTAATTATTATTCTATTTTATTTAAGCGGAATAAACTTCAGAAGGAAATAATGCTTATTTACACATCCCTTAACATATCATTGCCTCATATAGAGAGAATGGCACTTTTCTTATTTATGAAGTTAGTTTATTTTCGAAAAAGGAATTAATAAGTGTTCTAATTTCTTCTTATGGGAGATAATAGGAATATATATTGTTATTTAAATTTTTTTGTTGGTAAAAACTTTAAAAGCAAATAATGATATTTCCACATTATTTGCTTTTTGTTTCTTCGCGGTTTTGTTTCTTCTACGTCTTGGCTATAGCAAAGGTGGTACTATAGTCACCCTAATACGTGCTATTATAATGGTGTCGGAAATCGTACTTGTTTCTGAAATCGCCTCATAATGACTGTTAGTATATGAGTTCAATTTTTTAATGTTGTCAATAAATGTTGTAAGCGTGCTCCTAGCGGTACTCATACCGTAAGTTCGCTCTCGCTGCAGCGTTGGCTTTTTACCGGCAGAAACTGGTTTTTACCATGCCAGTGGCAGAAACTGGTTATAACCGGTCAAAACTGGCAGAAACTAAAAATACGTCTCTATTAGTTCTAGTAATTGCTTAAAGACACTTTGTTTAAGTAAACTGAAAAATGTAACTCCATATAACAGTAACAAACTTTTTAATTCATTGTTTGTAAATATATATTATTTTGTTTATATTAAATATAAAGAGTGCAGTATATCAAATATTTATATAAAACAAATCGAACCCATTTCTTGAAACTTATTTTTCCTGTCAAGTTTTGACAACTACCCCAGCTGCTACTTGGTGGTCCAGTTTTAAAAAATATGCAATAGATGAAAGTTTCACAAATCTTGCTTGTTCCTTGATGGCAATGCCTGCTAGTTCTGCTGGACTTGAGATTATCTTCTCAAATTTCTCGTTCCTACATAGCAAATTGAGAAATTGTTTAGGTTTAGAAAGGGCATCAAAACTTGTCTTTTGTTATAGATTACTGCAGAGTGCAAACAATGTAATATTTGATTTTGAATGGTGATAATTTTGTAAATAAATTGTACTTTGTTTAACATTTAATTGTTTTTTTTATGAATTATCCATTGTATGTCAATCTCAGTACTTACTTTTATGTCATTTTCTGAATTTCTGCCAGTTTCTGCCACAAATGTGGCAGAAAAGCGTTTCTGCCATGCCGGTTTTAACCAGTTTCTACCAGTGGTTTTAACCACTTAGGCAGAAACTTGCCAACCTTTGCCTCTCTGAGCTATAAATAT